GGCGGCCCGCGCCCGGGGGGCGGGGGGGCCCGCCGGGAAGTGACGCCGGCTCGCAAAGGTTCCCAGGCCGTTTGGGGCTGACCCGCGAGCAAAGCCCTTCCTTCGCGTTTGGGTTTGGGAAACCCGGGAGCCGGGAACGCTTTTGTTGTTGTAAGATTTGGCACGGGGCCTGGCTTTGCAGTGGTGGAGCGCAAAGACCAGCACGGGCTTTGCTAGTGCCACATACGTTAATTTCTGGTGCCTACAGAATCGTTCCTCGCGTAAACAAGCGAGTCCTCGCAGCACGAAGACCGCAGTCAAAATCCACACAACTGGGCATCGCAGCCAAGCGCACAGTACAAAACCCATCAGCATTGTGGTTCCTGCTGTGAGATAACGCAACGTATTCTTTTTACTCAGTAATGAGAAGATCAATTGAAGCAACAGTTTGAATTAAACAAATATACATTGACTACCACATCTGCTGTTCCAGGCTTTTGTAAAACAAAATGGAGACACAATTCTCAAAAAGTTTGCTATGGCACAGGTAAATGCCATGCTAAAACCAAATGGGATTGTATAAAATGTGCCACAAAGCGTGCCTTGCCAATACACAATTGCTTCTGTAACTCCTATCATAAACACCAGCTCTCCCCTCTGACGAGAATGGAAAGCACACGCCCAAATTCGTGAAATTATATAGAAAAATCTGTGTCTGATGCTTTTTCAAATGAAATGTAAGTTGAGATGGATCTCAACTAAAAGAAGGCTGGCCGAGTTTTCATTTTATCTCTGTTTAATTGTTTTCTGCAGGATCTGTTGTTTCCAATGTAATTATTTTGTAATCAGTACAGAAAACACCTGGACTGGCTAGACAGTGCAAAGCTATTAGCTTGAATGGGGCTGCAATTTAACTTGTATATCCTAACCAAAGTATATAAATATCTGGCACAGGAGACAAAACTATCTGGGAAGTCTGCCAGGAGGCAGGTGGCAAACTAAGCCTATTGCTGACAAAGCAAAGACAGCCCTCTTCTGTTGTGACTTTACATCTGCCCACGCTTCCCCGACCCGCCTGGTGCTCCCTTTCTATTCTTGCCCATTCTATTACCTGTCAGCCAAATCCGAGACACCTGTGGGTACCAGGAGGGGGTGACCAGGAATGGATGGGCCAAAATAAGACTTGTCTTTTATATAAGAGGGTGTATATACATGGTGAAAGACTCTGTATACAGGAGCTCGAGTCTTCTATGAGCTTGATTGTGTGATGTCCTCTTGGTCCTGAGCTCCGTGTCTGTGCAGGCACAATACCCGAGTCGTTCTGCAAGTTAAGAATATTGGAAATTATTCAGGATGTTATTTCAGCTCTGCCTTTCCCACTTGCCTCGATGGCCTGAGCAGATGCAGCCTTTGCCAGCTGCTGCTCTTTGTATTTTATTTTTCTTCTGAAGGAAAAAGAATAATTACACTTAAAAAAATCAATAGCCTTCCCCAGGAAGGCAGTTCACATGACAGGCCAAATTCACCTCTGGGCCAATGCTGGGGAAAGCACATGGAATTACAAAGAGGGACGGATCTTACCTAATAGACCCGCAAGCTGGCAGCAGACTCCACAAGAGGAGAAATATTTAATTATGAGGAACATAATGGCGCCAGCCTTGTCCTGCTCGTGTAAGATGAGCGCAGCAATACTGCGGACCAGCCCACTCTGCTTGTACACAAAACGCTCCAGAGATCATCTGCCTCACCACAGCCTGTCCTCACTGTATTGATAGGTTTTGCTAGCCATGTTGCAGGGAAAATGGCTCTCTTAGAGCAAATGCGGGTATGTTTCAGAACTAGGATATAAGCTACAGTGCTTAAAGAAGAATTTAAAGGCTTAACTCTACTTCTTGGTTCAGATACTGCAGAAACAGACTTGCTACCATTTAGAGGCTGGGAACAGAGGAGTGGCTATAGCAGGCCTGGCCAAAGGTCTCTTTAATCTGGGTCCAGCAGCAGTGTAAGAACAGGTCCTTTCCTGGCTGCTGTTCCCCCTCCTGGCACCTCACTGGAGGCTAACCTCAGACCTTCAGAAAGGGGACCCCTTGCTTGATAACAGAGAGCCAAACCCGGGCCAACCCCCAAAAGCAAAAGGGTTTGATAAAGGATGCTCCTGCCGGTCCCATGAGCATGCTATCCCTGGCTGAGTGTTACCCTTCTCCCCGCAGGTGCCAGTGGATGCCACGCAAAGCCTCTGGGTCCACAGTGTCCAAAGATCCAGTTTTAATTTTGTAATGCACAAGCTAGTCTGTGGGGTCCCAGAGGGACAGTACTACTCCCTGAGACTGCTCAGACAGGAAAGAGGCTCTTTGGGAATGATCCACACTGACCATGCAAATTGGAGTGAAACACACATCAAAAGATTTGCATTTAAGCAAATCCCAAACAAGGTATTGTGGAGACATCACTAAATTGTAGAAAACGTATTTCCGTCAGGCTCAGCTGGAACTTTACCAGTGGAGTATGAGCACTGACTTCACTCTGCTCTGGGAAGCTCATGACGGACAGCCCTTCTCCAAAGTCCTGCAGAATCTGAGAGCTGAGACTTGTCAGCAGTGACGACAATGGAAACCGGTGAGTTTCAGCACCTTGACTTTTCACAAGGGTAAAGATGCATCCTCATGGAAGTATCAGGGAAAGATCATACTGTGCCATCCTTGGGCTCGTATTAAAAAAAAAAAATCAGAAAGAAGAATTTTCTAAAATCAACATGTGGTATCTTTAATGTCCCAAGAATTTAATAATATCTATTAGCATATTCCGCCTTCTCTAGACTGAATTTATATTTCTTCACAATGCAATATTTTTCCAAAAGGCAGTTAGATCAAAGTGCTGTGAAATATGATTTAATTTACTTGAAAATTATGTAAACTTGGGCCTAAATTAGCATTCTCTTCCCCGATGCTGCCAATTGCAGAGTTGTCTGGAGTTTTAATAGCTCAGCATCAGATCCTGCTTAATA